CTTTTGCCTTCCCCCCCGCTTCCCATACTTTTTAATATTTTCCTGGGAAGGGACGATTCATTGTGTCTATGTGTTTTTTCCACTCCTGCGATTCATAAGCATGTGTCGCTTTCTGACGATCCCGAGGCCCACGGAAGGTCCCAGGAAGCCCGAACAGAACAACGAAGCGCCTCAAGGCGCGTTTCCTTCTGGATCCGTGCTCCCAGGGAAAAAGCCACGGGAGCGCGACAGAGGACGAGCCAGGCGACGCCCCAAGCGGGGATGGGGCATACGCCGTCCCGCTCTGGGGAGGAAGGAACCCAAGTGTCTTCACGCTTGTCCCGCTCTGAGGCGATAGGCACCTAACTGTTTTCACGCTTGTCCCGCTCTGAGGCGCTCGGAGCCCCACCGCTCCGGGCCGCAGCAACGGGTGAATGCAAACCCCGGTACGTCGGGCTTTGCAGGACCCTGCAGTACCACGTGTTTGGACGCACCGACTCCGACCGGAGGACAGCTGGGAAAAGCCCCGGGCACGGGACCCGCGCGAGGCAGGATCCCGCAGTATCCTGCAGTCTGCTGCAGCATCCTGCGCGCCGGAGCCCGGGCGAGTGCACCCCGGGCTCTGCGGGGTGTTGCAGGATCGGGCGCTCTGGCTGACCCCCGCTTGCACGCCCCAAGGCCCCCGACATGCTCCAAACGACCCCTGGAACCAAAAAAAAAAATGTGAACGTCCAACTGGGCCCGTTCCCTGACACAGGAAGGCAACAGGACCACCGCCACCGAGAAACCATCGGGGCGGGACCGACCCTTCGGCGGTGGCACGCCCGAGCGTCGTCCTGTGCTTGGTGGTGACGATCGGCCGTACGTACCACCACCTCCCCGTGGTCGGTTCCCTGCCGATGGGTTCTCGGTGGCGGTGGTCCATGGGTTTCTGTTTCTGCTCTGACAAGCCCCGCCTTTTGGACCCCTTCCTTACAACGAACACGCGCATGAAGGACGGGTGGCAAGGACGCAAGACCCTTGGAGGCCGAAATCGGGAAACTGGGGAGTTGGGGGGGCGGCGGGCGGCCGTCACTTCGGTGGCGCAAGGGTGCCCCCAACCCTATTAAAAATCAAGCAATTAAAAATAAAGTGAAAAACCAAGGGAATAAACAAAATACATCAAACAGAAAAAATAAAAAATGCGAAAGTTGATACCCCAAAAACAGGGCCCAAAGCAGAAACAATGCAAGGACGCAAGGGCACCCTCGAAGCCGGCGGGCCCCATCGGTCCCCCCTGGGCATGGCGCCAGCATCTCAAAAGGCGCCTGCTCGGGTGAGCACCGCGGCGCATGCTGCGGGCGGGCAGCGGCGTGCAACAATGGGTCGCCGCCGGCCTTGGGCGACGTAGCGCACGCTGCAGGCGCGAGGCCGCGCAAAGGGCCCCTTGCCTCCTCCGCGTGCTGAGGGGCGCGCCGCCCCGCGGGCGACGCGGGGCGGGCCGCAGAGGCTAGGGCGCGCAAGGGGTCCCTGCCGACGCCGCGTCCTTGGGGGCCGCGGGTGGCGCGGCGCGCCACGCGGGAGCAGGGGCGCGCAAAGGGGCCCACGCCTGCTCCGCGTCCCTACGCGGGCCCCGCCGCGAGGCGGGGCCCTGCTCTGCGACGTGGCGCGCGCCGCGGGGCAAGGACGCGCAGGGGGCCCCGCCTGCTCCGCGTCCCTGACGCCTTGGCTGGCCATCGCCCCCATGACGTTGGCCAATCAGGGCGCGCCAATCGTATCACTTGCATTCTGCGCCTCATCATGACTTGGTACATTCGCGGTCCGTGCATCTGCTTGCCCCGTGTGGAGCCTAGCGCACAGGTGACGCACAGTGGCTGGGTGGGGCCGAGGCACGTAATGAAACAAGAAGAGGCGCCATGAGATCTGGGGAAATATCATGGCCCACGCCATGATGTCCACCCCCCCTAGTCATCACCCCCCTCTTTTCCGCCCCCGATCTTCATGCGAGAAACTTGCCAGCTCAATCGTCATCGTCTGCCGGGCAAGGGCGGACATGCGGGCAGCTTTTGCCCTGCCGGCGCGCGCCAGGGCACAGACGAACTACAACAGCAACGCGCGCGAGCGAATCAATTCCTACCCGTTCCAGCTCGGGCCCACTGAAGGGGCCCTGGGACATACACGCACACACATGGATACACACAAACAACGGGATCCCCAATATTTTCGTATATTTTCTGAGAATCGAGGATTGATTGTGCATGTGCGTGCGTGCGTGCGCGTGCGTGCGTGCGCGTGCGTGGTGCGCGTGCGTGGTGCGCGTGCGCGTGCGCGTGCGTGGTGCGTGGTGCGCGTGCGGGATGCGCGTGCGGGGTGCGTGGTGCGTGGTGCGTGGTGCGTGGTGCGTGCGCGTGCGCGTGCGTGGTGCGTGGTGCGTGGTGCGTGGTGCGTGGTGCGTGGTGCGTGGTGCGTGGTGCGTGGTGCGTGGTGCGTGGTGCGTGGTGCGTGGTGCGTTGTGCGTGTGCGTGTGCGTGTGCGTGTGCGTGTGCGTGTGCGTGTGCGTGTGCGTGTGCGTGTGCGTGTGCGTGTGGGTGTGCGTGTGCGTGTGCGCGTGCGCGCGCGTGCGCGCGTGTGCGCGCGTGCGTGCGTTCGTGTGTGCGTGTGTGTGTGTGTGTGTGTGTGAGAGTGAGAGTGAGAGTGAGAGTGTGTGCGTGTGTGTGTGTGTGTTTCTTTCCCTCCTGACCCACGCGTGCGCAGGGGCAGCACCCAGCCGAAGGCCGCCAACCAGCCAACCAGCCCAGGCAAAGGCGATGCCCAACCGGTACCGCCAGTGGTGCTGTGCTTGGCGAGCGCCTTCGGGGCCACGCCCGCCCGCAGATGGAGCGACGGCCGACGAGACGGGCGACGCGCCAAAGGACGGGCAAGGGTGCCCGTCGGTCGGAAAAGGTAGGTAGAAACATGAAGTAGGAAGGCGGATATAGTAGATTGGGTCCAGGTCCTCCCAGAGAATAACAAAACACAGCAAAAGCATGTCGATTCTTGAAGTAGGAAGGCGCTTGAAGTAGATTGGGATCTGGGAATACAGAAATACCTACTTTCAACGACCGGCGTGTACCCTGTTTGGCCCGCGCCTCTACGGCAACGCCCGCCCGCGAAGGAAGAACGCGACCGAGGGCAGCGGCGGCACGCCCCAGGACGCGCAAGGGAACCCTGCTTGGTCAACGTCCTTCCGGCGGTGGACAAACCTCCCTTTGGTGATCCCCCCCGCAGTAAAAACGGCCTGGGACCGAAACCGAAGGACCTGGACCCGCAAAAATGACGGCCGCGACGCCCTCTCGCGAACCGAAAACGGCCAATTCCTGAATCGGCGTGCCAGCGTAGGAGGTCTATCCCCCTCCGATCCTTAGTCGCCTAGACGTAAGAGTGACCCTGGGTAAGAGTGACCTTTGGTGCGCGGCTTTGGGGGGACCGCGGGGAGACCACACCTGGGCGCGCAAGCCGCTGCCACCGCTTCGTGTTCAGCCATCGGGGAACCCATCTGTGCCCGCACCAAAGGTCACTCTGGCGCAAGGTCACTCTTACGTCCAGTTGACCGAGGGCCACGCCCGCCCGCAAATTGAGCAGCGGGCGAGGACGGGAGCGACGCGCCGACGAGCGGCCAGGTGCTCGCAGCCCGCGCGTCCCTCGAGCTGCCCCCGAGAGGAGTGCCCCCGCCGCGCGGCCGAGGGAGGGCGCCCGCCCCAAAGGTTACTCCAGATGTCGTAATAAAAAGGAGGGGGGTCTGGATCCTCCAAGACTAGCCATTTCAGACCCCCCCTGTGGAAGAACCCTCCAAGACATCGTCCCCAGACCCCCCCAGGCCCTCCAAGATGGCCTGGAAGAGACCCCCCCCCGAAATGAGACCCCCCTCCCTTTCTTACGAAATCTGGAATACACCCTGGAGGGGCCGGCCAGCGGCAGCGGCAACGGACAGGCCGCAGAGGCAAGGGTACAAGGGGGGCCCTAGAATTATGTTGCTCCCCTCGTGCTCAAAGTCGGGAACGGCCAGGTGCTCGTAGCCCGCGTCCCTCGAGCTGCCTCCGAGAGGAGAGCCGCCGCCGCGCGCGGCCGAGGGACGGCAGCCGCCCTCAAGGTTAACCCTGAGGGGCTGGCCAGCCGAAAGATGGCAACGGACGGGCCGCAGAATTATGTTGCTCCCATCGTACTTAAAGACCACATCCCAGGAATGATTTCGAGCACCCGGAAAAGTATCGAACAAGTGTCGAAACAGTGTCGAACGAGTGTCTCTCAGGGCCTGACACGTGAAAACCATCGAAATTCGTCTTTTTTGATGGTGCTCGAAATTCTGTCTGGTAGTCCAGGCTAAAATAGGTTGGAACATCATAGTTAGCCCTAGACAGGGGGCGCGTCCGTACTATGCGCGTTGGCTGTACGACGGAGGGCAGAACATTCACCCTCACAAGAAGCACCCCGGCAAGCGGAGCCGCTTAGTAAAACCGCACCCATGGCAGGAGTCGACCAGGGCAGGGTTGTCTGGTGAACGTCCGATGCCGCGGAATAAACGCCAATTTCGGGGAGACGTACGACTCGGGTTCGGGGGACTCGGGTTGGCATGACGGAGGCCATCATGGAACTGACAACACCCAGCCTGAAATCTGACACAAACTCCCGCTGCAAACGTCCCACAGAAACTGGACCGCCCAAGTCCGGGACGCGCTCGCCAAACCGCGCCGGCAAACCCGAGCGGCGCCCTCGAGCCCTACGCTTCCCCATTGGGGTCGGGGCGGTTCCTCCCATCGCTCGGGCGTCCACGTCCCGTGTGCACTCTTCCGCCTCGCGCGTGCTTGTGGTTGCTCGATGGTCCAGGGATCCCCCCCGATGGCTCTCGCCTAGAAAAAGTGCGCACGTCCTAGCGATCGCAGCGGTTCTTCCTCCCCGGGCTGCGCCCCCCACGGCGGGACGGCCCCTGCCCCCCCCCGGAGAGGCCCTGCGCTCCGGGCCGCGGCGCGCGGGGCCGCGCGCGGGGCCCGGGGCGGCGGGGCCGCCGTCGTGCCCCTCGCCGGGCTGCGCCCCGCGGCCGCCGTCGGGCCGGGGCAGCAGCCAGCCCTGCGCGCCAAGGGCGAGGGGCAAGCGGTGGGCGTGTGTTCCACCGCCGCAACCATGAGCAGGAGGGGGAGGGTGTGCTCCTCCTCCTCCTCCTCCCCTCCTCCTCCTCCTCCTCCTCCTCCTCCTCCTCTTCATCCTCATCCTCATCCTCCTCCTCCTCCATCTCCTCCTCCTCCTCCTCCTCCATCTCCTACTCCTCCTCCTCCTGCTCCTCCTCCTCCTCCTTCCCCTCTCCAACTTATGGTGGTGGTGGTGGTGGTGGTGGTGGTGGACGTCAAGCCCATCAGCAACGACGGGGAGGGGCCGGCCTCCCAGGGGCGGGGGAGCATCGACCTCGAGCAGTGGTCGGTCCGGGGGTGCTGGCCCCGTGCTGGAGAGCGGCAGGCCGAACCGAGCTGTTGACACATCGCGTGGGCGAGCTCATGGTGAGCACCGGGGGAGGGAACGGTACCGAGGCTGCTACTCTGGCCGCGTTCTCGCCAATTTGGGCCTCCTGGGAGGCACTCGTCGCCGCCGCTGGATTCGCCCCGAAATTCTGGTCAGAATGATTCCCGGGAGAGGTCAGGGGAGTAGCAGTATCGGTACTTTTGGAATCCCTAGATAGGGAGGGATATATCGGCGATACGCCCCGATGCCGACTCCACACGTTCCTGGGGAGTGGTGGGGCTTTCGGACCCCGATCGGTAATGAAGGGGCGATTGGGGGCTGATGCATCGTGGCCCCTGACGATGGGGGGGATAGGGAGAGAGGAGCTGAACATGCTCGCGGCGCGAAACGCAATCATGGTGGAAGGTGTCGGGCCTCCAAGGCCGCTGCCAAGCCTCGGAAGCGTCGAAACACGGCTCGGGACGAACAGCTAATCCTGGGGATAGGGGCGGGACTTCCGGGGACCGCGCTCTGGCACAAAAACGATACATCACCCTGCGCCGAGGGGAAGGGGGCGATGGGATAGCGAGGGGAGACCTTATCCTCGATCCTCAATCCTCAGATCTCCAACACTCGTTTCTCGATCCTCGGATCTCCGACCAATCCTGGGATCCTCGATCCTCGACCCTCGATCTCGACGGGGACCCTCTCGGCACGAACGGACGGACTACGAAAAGCATCGGGGGCAAAGACCGACGGCAGCTCATGTCCGTTGTGAGCAGGGCTCGCTGCTGGTGTCGCCGCAGATGCTTCCTGGCATTCTAACCTCAATCTTTCGAGCCCAGCGCTTTCGCTTGGCTTCGGGCCCCTGGGGCCTCGTAGATTGATCCAGCTCGAACGATGACGCAGAAAGTGCGAAGCGCGGATTGATCCACATCCACCGCATGGAGAGCCAACGGCCTGGGACACCAGAGGGCGGTGGATGAGGGCACTGTTTGGCCCGGAGGGGCACCGCCACGTCCATACCCACCGCTTGCCGAGGCCGTCGAACATCGATGCCCCAGGCGGCAGCTATGGACGCCCCCCCACCCTCGGAGGGGCATGGGGTCCGGGGCTGTGGTCGTGATTTGTCACGGTGCCGCGGTTTATCGCCGCGTCGGATCTCAGGGTCGGACGGAGGGAGCAGGAGGGAGCGAGGGCGCGAGGGCTGGTGCGAGGGGGGGGGCGAGGGCGCGGGGGCGGCGGGGGAGCGAGGGACGAGGACGGAGAGGCGGCGTGGGGGGGGGAGGGGGGGGCGCGACGGCGGGGACCGAAGGCGAGGGGGGGGGATGGACGGAGGATGCAGGAGGAGAAGGGAGGAGTAAGGAGGTGCTCCCCCTCATCTCCGTCCTCCATCCTCCTCGTCCTTCCTCCTCCTCCCCCATCCTCCTCAACTTCCCTCCTCCTCCTCCTCCTCCGCTCCTGTTCTTGTTCTTCATATTCAAATAGTCTGCAGCAGCTTCAAGGATGGGTGGCGGGTAGTTTCCAAAGCGTGGCCCCCACCGCAGCGCCACGCACATTCGTTTTAACAGCGTGCTGCAGCTTCACGGCTGGGGGGGCGGGTGGTTTTCAAAGTGTGGCTCCCACCGTAGCGCCACGAACATTCGTTTTGACAGCTTCCTGCAGCATCACGGATGGAGGGCGGGTTGATGTCTATAAAGTGTGCTTTAGTTTAGCGCCGCACGGGAGGTTGATGGTTTTCAAAGCGTGGCTCTCGCATTAGCGCCGCGCACATTCGTATCAAAAATATGGTCGAAACCACGGGAAGTGTGCGCTGGCATGACTTGGAGCTGTCAGGACGCTGGAATCACCATGAATCGCTGTGTTGAAATCCCAAGAACGGCGTACTGGCACGGTTTAGACTTGTCAGGACGCAACAATCACGTTGATCCGCGGGGTTGAAGTTTCAAGAACGGTGTTGCGGCACGACTGAAGATTCTCAAACGGCGGTCTTCCAATGGGACACTTCCCGCAATACCAAAACATAGTTTTAGGACTTGGTTGCGAAGAGGGGACGTGGAGACAAGCTTTACTGCAACATCGTTCATGCGTCTTGGGCTTACACGTTGCGTCCACCTCTTCGTCATTTCCGTCCTCACCCTCCCCCTCCCCCTCCTCCTCCTCCCCCTCCCCCTCCTCCTCCTCCTCCACCTCCTCCGCCTCCTCCTCCTCCTGATCTTTTTCCACTCCCTGCACCCCCCTGATCGAGGGGCACCGCCATTTCTCCTCCTCCTCCTCCTCCTTCTCCGCCTCCTCCGCCTCCTCCGCCTCCTCCTCCTCCTCCTCATCCTCCTCCTCCTCCGCAGTTTCGACAGACCTCAGGAGCTGCAGAGCAGCTTGCGATTCTTTTGGCTTGTCATGCCTCGCCGTCGATAACACATGTGCACACGGATTATAAAGCCGCTATAGACCTCCATCTGGCTCCTCGCTTTTCTCGCAGGTCTCCGATGAGCGGCTTCAAGGTCTTGGCAGGCGCGTGCCGCGTCCGCCCTAGCAGTTGTATATGTAAGGTGAAAGGCCACCAGAATCTGGAAGCCGAGTTTTCTTCCCCCGAGGAACGGACCCATGCCATCGGGAACGATGCTGCCGACAAGGCGGCTAAGTAGGCGGCCCAGAAGTTGGCCCAGCCCAGCAGGTCCGAGGTCGAATCCCACG